GAGCAGCTGGATTAGAATGGCACCTGGATTCGAAACGGCGACTTCAGACAATGACGGACCGACAGCAGCAATCTTCATGTGAACACTGCTGCTGCTGCTGCTGCTGCTGCCTGTTCGGCCCACTACTCTGCTACGGCTGCCCAACGTTTCCAACCACCCACTCACCGTCTGATGGCGGCCCGACTTGCCCCTGAAGATGGTGGTGGCGGTGGGGCGGGTGGTGATGGTGCGTCCAACAGCGGCCCCAGCAAAGCCAAGTTATCAAGCGCAGGGGGAAAAAAGAGGGAGAGTATCCTCACGAATGGGAGAGAAGACAAAAAATAAAATTAGAAAGTAGGACCTTAAATTAAATCAAACGCGTACGGTCTTACGAACGAAACTCTATAGACCCGGTGTCCGATTTTTATTAGTTTCAATATTACATAGAAAAGAGGACGGCAGGGGACGGGACGAAGAAGGGACCGCAATTCAACGCGCAAATTAAGAATCGGCTGCCAAAGTCCTAAAGCGACGTCGGGAGTGTTGTACGTATGAGCGTTTGCATGTGTGTGTATGTACGTATGTATGCGTGACGGCAAAGGCCACAAGCTGCAGGGAAAAGTAAAGACGAGCAACCCCGTAGATTACCCCTTCAACTGTAATAATACTTCCAGACAGTCGTTGTGCTGTGCTGTGCTGTGCGTGCATGCAATCATACGTGCATTCATGCATTCCTTCATGCACATGTACTTTTTGATAATAAATATGGAAGAGTTGACTGTGAGATTGCCGCGTCTGTAAAAATGGTCCTGTTGTCGTACCCTGTCGTACCTTCATGACTAGTGCAGGGCACATGTAAAACATGGTGCCCATGCGCAAGTTGCTCAGGTGGGTTCGATTCTGAGGCAGCATTACACTGCGGTGTGGTGAGTGGGGGGTGGGGAGAGGCAAGGGGGTGGGAGGGGGGTTTTGGGCGGGCGGGCAACCAGACATAGAAATGCTGTAAAAGCTTATTTATATATAAAACATAACCAAAACCACCAAATTAAAACAAAGCAATATTTTTTCTCTTCTATTCAGCCCTTTCCTTTATTTATTTAATATTTCATGTGTTATTTCTCCTCATTCAAAGGAAGTGAACTTCCTTGTAATAGGATAATTTAAAAGAATTTAAAACGATATAACCACCTCGCTTGCACCCACCATCCCTGCTGCTGTCCGCGCGATGAGACACAAGTCTCGGGTTGACGGCGACTTCCGAGTGACGAAGCGAAGTAAGGGGCGGAAGAGGCCCGGCAGGAAGGGGGCCTAGGCATCGACCCCGGTGGCCGACATAATCTTTTGCCACACAGCGGAGCGATAGCTTTTTGTATATAGCTACCACGACTGCTCCCTTAATGATGTAACTGTCTCTCTAGAAAGTTAATAAGAAATTATCATGCAAAATTGAACAAAAAAACAAAAAAAACATCCTCCCCCTCCTCCTCTTCATCATCCCCGGCCCCACAGCCACCGCCCCCCACCCCCACCCCCACCTCAGGCCAAAGTCCCCAACCTTGACGATGTACCCGGACGGCTCGTTCACGTCCCGATTGAGTAACACGTTA